AGACCAGTAGTGAGCATACATCAAGCTACAGCACATATAAGAGCATATAAGGCTGCAGGAGTCATCCACAGGTGCCTGGACAGTGGTAAGGGCTTGTAGTAGGAGTCAGTCAGCTGCGTGCACACACACAGCTATGGGATTAGCTGCAAGGCCCACGGCATCACCACCTGGGGCAGCTTTTGGTGAGAAGTGAGTGAAGGGTGACAGCTCAGCTCTGCAAGGGTGGAAACTACAGCACACTTAGTGACAAAAACTATGGGGGATCCTCTGTGAAGAAGGCGGCTGAGGTCCATGACTACAAACACTGTGGGGTCCTCAATAGTGAAAGCTGCAGAGGGTGTATGACAGCTGCAAACACTGTTGCTGTCCTGAACAACAAAAGTTGCTGGGGTCAGAACAGGTCACCTGGAACTGCAGAGGCTCCCCTTGCATCACAAATGCTGGTAGCCTCAACCCTTCTTCACTCCTAGCCATATCCAGATGTCTCAGCCATCCCAGTCTCACCAGCAAACTAGTGGGGTGAAACAGACGTGGGTCCTTCAGGCAGTGCTCCAAAATGGTGAGGGTGCTGGTTGGTTTCCCTGCTCTCCTCTTCTGTGAGTGAAACTCATGGAATGGGATGCCAACAAAATGATATTTTTACTAACCTTTCTGTGTAACTATTCTGATAATTTTTTGCTGCACTGAGTTGCTACACCTTTTAAAATGGACTCCTGACTTCTCCCAGAGCTACTTTCATGGATAGCTGTCTAATTATTGCGGGAGTCAAAGACAGAGATCTCCTACTCTGCCATCTAGCTGATATCACTCTCCTTATACTATAACTTTTCATGCTAATATAAATTATATAATATTGACAATATTATATTGACAAGGAAAACATTGTCAATTGTTGACAGTGGAAATATTGACAAGGAAAACATTGCTAACCCATTTAATGGATGAATAAATTAAGGAATAAAGACAAGCTTCTGAGGTCAATTGTCAAAAAAGTTAGTGAAATCCAGATTAGAAACCAAGTATTTTAATTGGTGTATAAAAGTTATTTTCCATAATACTACTTCCAAATTATCTTTCTTCCATGAGTCTGAAATAACATCTATTAGATGAAATTTTCCCCAAGTTCTTCAGTTAAAACAAATTTGTCCCTCGTTGGAGTTCTCAGAGCATTTTGTTTGTACCTCTCTTATGGCACATGTCACTTTCTATCTTAACTATACTAAATATTTCTTATTTCACTGAAAACATCATAGGCTCCCAAAATACAGGGATCAGGACATATGTGTTTATTCCAGGGAATGTATAGCACACTGCCCTATACATAGTACAAGATGAGTGAAAGCAGGGAGCATATTTTATATAAAGAATGAGAAAAAAAATGAAAAAGACTGGACGAGGTGGCTCACACCTGTAATCCTAGCACTTTGGGAGGCCGAGTCAGGTGGATCACAAGGCCAGGAGATGGAGATCAACCTGGCTAACAAGGTGAAATCCCGTCTCTACTAAAAAATACAAAAAAATCAGCTGGGCGTGGTGGCAAGCACCTGTAGTCCCAGCTACTCAGGAGGATGAGGCAGGAGAATTGCTTGAACCTGGGAGGCAGAGGTTGCAGTGAGCCAAGATCACACCACTGTACTCCAGCCTGGGCGACAACAGTGGGACTCTGTCTTGAAAAAAAAAGTCTCTATTACCTTTAACCCACTTATGCTTCTTATTGTGGTTTCAGAGTCACTTGCTATATCACCTTGCATGTAAGTCTAAGAGAAAAGGACCACACCATACTCATAGGTACAAATAACATTCATTCAGGATTAAACAAGAATTTAGACATGAATGGTGATTCAGCTTCCCAGGTCCCCTGGACATATCTTGGCAGTACACACCAAGTTTCCCTAGAGCTAGGGAAGATAGTGTAAGTTGGTCCCTGGGGAGAAGACATTGGGGAAAGGGTAGGCTAGAGCTGAATATATTATTCTGTCCCTTCTCATGTTTTCATGCCTTAGAGCTGCAATAACTACCATGTAGAGCAAGCAAGGGCCATACACACTTCTATAGAAAGTATACAAATCTGTAGACTAGTTTGCTTTCTCATGATCAGTGCAAATGTCTGAAGAAATTTGTATTCTCAGAGTAAGGACGGACAGACCATGATGAGTGGTAGGAGACGCCAAGACAGATTGGCTGATTTCTGAAGAACACTCCAAGGAAGATGAGGAAGACCTTGGGAAAATGACTGGAGGTATCATTACTGAACAGATAAAGAGTATTTTGGTGAGGCAAATGGGAAATGAGATCCAGTACATCTTTACTCCAAGCTGGGGAAATTGGTGCAGCTCCAGATCTTCTAAATGTTGGACAAGTACCTAAGGGATATGTTGCTTGTTCTTGAAGTAGTCTTAAGAATTGATATTGTCTCTTGAGTACAAGTATGATCATAACTGTAAAAAAGAAGTCTTATGTATAATAAAGCGTTTTTTTTCCCCTAGGATACTGTAGGGAGCCCATAGTTCAAGACTTTGGATCTAAAAGACATTAGAATGAGAGTGTTCTTTATCCTCACATGCTTCAAACTAGAGCATTCTGGAAGTACATTTGCATTAAAAAGTGGAGGAAAATGTGAAGGAAACATGGATATGTTTAAGCAATAAAAACAATTTATTAAAGTGTGAACTAGGAATAAGGCATAAGTGGTCTATAATCCTGTTCTCCAGAAATCTGGGGTTATTTGATTCCCCAGAATATAACAGGAAAAGAGAGTAAAGAGAGAATGACTGTGTTTATGAATATATGTGAGTGAAAACATGTGAGCATATCTAAATAAGTAGACTTGTATGGGTCTAATATGATATAATAACAATTCATGCTTGTAGGGAGCAACTTTGGATCAAGTCCTATGTTAAAAGTCCTCCATGCATTCTCATATTTAATTATCACAACAGAATCTAGTAAGGTAGGTGTTATTATAGCTTTTCTCATTTTACAGGAGAGGATATGGAATTATTTAATTGTTAAGTGATCTGTTTGGTATGACACAACTATTGTGAAATGAAAATAAGACTGAAATATTGTTTGACTCTAAATCAGTGTTCTTAAATTCTATGCAGAGGTGAATTTTTGGTACACTGTGTGGCTGACGATGGAATTGTGGATTGTTACAAAAGTCCTGAAGAGTAGAAGCCTCTACATTGGTGATGCTTCCTACTGGGGCTAGATCATGAGTAAAGCTAGCTACTCTCTGCTCCCAGAACAGTTTCTTTTCCCCAAGAAAAACATTTCATCAAAGGTATTGAATAACTAGGCCAGGAACTCTTTGCTAGTAAACTATGAGTAAAGTGCAGCTTGGAGCCTGGGAGTAAGGGACAATCTTTTCCCACCCAGCAAAGAGTCCTGAGCTCTGCCAGTGTGTGCTGCTATGGAAAAGAGACAGTGGTGCCAGTAATATGCATTTAACACCCCATCATTTATTCCTTCCCATGAGCTATGCCCAGAATCTCTCTAGTCCAGGGGAAGATCAGAGTGAACCCTGATTGACCTACCACTCTTTCCGTGCCAAGAGAAGAACATAGTGGACGAGAAATTGTCAGAAAAAATGAACAATGGTCTGAATGCAGCACCTGAATTTATGCTTTAAGAATAGGGGACATTTAACAAAATCAATTAGTAAGCTAGTTGGTCTAGGTCACAAAAAAATGTCTGCCTTCCAGCATTACAAGATCTACCTATCCCTCAGTATTCATGTTCCTTCCTTCCTCTCCGTACCTTTCTGGACAAGAGCATGAAAAAAAATAGCTGATACTTAGAAACACGGACCTACCAAGTGAGTTAACACCAAGGCTCAGATATAATGTGCTCAGACATTAGGGATGTGTTTGTCATTAAAGTGTCCTGGGTATGCAAACAGTGGATGTTTCAAAGATAGGCAGTGTACAGATACATGCTTCCTGCCAGTGTAGACCAAGATAATCACTTCCTTCTCTCTCTGACCTATTTCCTGTGATTCCCAAAGCACCACAGGATTTATTAATCCACCTGTTAGTTCATATTCAATTAAAACATATGTGTTTCCCAGTCACTGTTCTAGGCATTTGGCTCACAGTCATGAAGGACAAGTTCTCGAGTTTTGGAAGTTTGCAGCGCAACAGGGAAAAAACTTGATGCATGTGAAGGCTGTGCACTGGGAAGAAAATGCTGATGATGCACTCCACCCAGTCCGTGTAGATGCCTTCTAAATGGAGTTATGAATCTTGAATCAGCAGATAAAGATCAGGGAGCGTGCAATAGGAATTGGAAAGAGAGTATGGAGAGCCGAGGAGGTCAGAGAGATGACAGTGTGCTTGGGGAGCAAAAACTAATCCAGTATGTCTGGAGCATGGACTACCACTTAGAGGGTCACAGGAGATGAAGTTGGAGAAATAGGTAAGGATCAAAATATGAAGTGCCTCCTGTATATGATAACTAAAACCTCTGCATTTTAATATGAAGTCAATGCAAGAGTCATTAAGAAATTTTCCAATAGTTACTATAATTTTAAAATTCCTCAGACTCTAAATAAACTATCCTAGTTCAAGGCCCAGGGATCACCCAAATATTAAACTTCTTAACTTTCTGACTTGATATTATCATTTATGTTTCCTTTCAGGTAAGAACAAATGTTTGTGCAGTGGGTTCCTAATGAAACGGATAACTGAAATCAACATGGGAGAGACAAATGGGTCTATGTTCATTCCCAAAGGAGCTAGGAATGATGTAAATATTGAGATTCCAATCATTGTCATCAAGTACTTGAGAGCTGGGATGGAAGTGCACTTAAAAAAGAATTAATGAAAATGTTTGCTTCACCTTTGAAGATGTGTTCCCATTAACATAAATTATTTTACGCATCTCATTCACAGGGAAGACTGAATTATTAACATACTTTTGACTTACGTTTCATGCCATAGTCATCTTCATTATTTGTAATGTTACAAGGAAAGACTCCAATGTTTTCAGTGCTTTTAATCATGCTGCAGGTAAACATTACTCTGGTCAGTGAGTTCATCCTGGTGGGCTTTCCCACTGCCCCATGGCTTCAGGTTCTGCTCTTCTTCCTCTTCCTTGTGGTCTACCTGTTAGTGGTAGTGGAGAATCTTGTCATCATGCTCACTATTTGGGTCACTAGCTCCCTCCATAAGCCAATGTACTATTTCCTGAGTAGCATGTCCTTTCTGGAGGTCTGGTATGTCTCTGTCACAGTCCCCAAGATACTGGACGGATTCCTCCTGCAGAAACAGCACATTTCCTTCACAGGTTGCATGACCCAGCTCTACTTCTTTATTTCACTTGCCTGCACAGAGTGTGTGCTCCTGGCAGCCATGGCTTATGACCGCTACGTGGCCATTTGCCACCCTCTTCGATACTCAGTCATCATGACCACAGGTTACTGTGGACAGCTGGTGGCTTTCTCTTACATGAGTGGTTTCATGATCTCTGTCATCAAGGTCTATTTCATTTCACATGTTGCTTTCTGTGGCTCCAATGTTATGAACCACTTTTTCTGTGATATCTCACCAGTCCTCAAACTGGCATGCAAAGACATGTCCACAGCTGAGCTAGTGGACTTTGCTTTAGCTATTGTCATTCTTGTGTTCCCTCTCATTACCACTGTCCTCTCCTATATCTACATTGTCTCCACCATTCTGCATATACCCTCCACCCAGGGAAGGAAGAAGGCCTTCTCCACCTGTGCATCTCACCTCACTGTAGTCATAATTTTTTACACAGCCATGATTTTTACATATGTTCGGCCCAGAGCTATTGCATCATTTAATTCCAACAAACTAATCTCAGCTGTGTATGCAGTCCTCACACCCATGCTAAATCCATTCATCTACTGCCTAAGGAACCAGGAAGTCAAGAATGCTATCAAAAAGACCTTGAGGGGTGGCTAATGTCTCCTGCTCCGCTGAGCCCTACTGCCTTATGGAGAAGACAGTATCCTATGCAGGATGCCATTCCCATGACATTTATCACAGCCCTACTGTTATTATCACTGATCTATAGGCCTGGATTCTGAAATAAATCACAACATGGGCAAAGTAAAAAAAATTAAAAGAGGAACAGAATACTTGATATATATTGCTTTAAGCATTAACTAGTATTAATATACATGTTAGTGATTATCAATTACTATTGATATTAATAATAATGTTGATCATTTTACAATCTTCTTCCAATATTTGCCTCCTAAGTCTGTAATAGCTAATTTCTCATTACAAGAGTGAATCAATAGATTCACGAGAGATTAAATAATGATATTACTGTAACTTTTGCCATTGATTTGCATCTCGAGACACTTTCTTTAGTGCTGTTGAATTTTCGTGTCCCTCCATGCTATATCGTAACCCCCATCAGCAAACTAATGGAATATCATTCCATCAATATATGTCTGAGCTGAAATTCTCAATATATTCCTGCAGTATAGGTCTACATAAAACTTAGGTGAAAAACAAATGTGAAATTTTTAAGACAAATGAGAGTATTAAATATCATTGAGGCATGTGCTGGCTAGATAATGAAATACAGGGTACCAGAGAAAATTCTATAAAATTTCATTAAATTGAGACTAAATATACAAAAAAAAAAAAATCAGAAAGAGCCATTCCAACTGTATACCCTATCTCTTTTAAGTGGGAGTCCAAAATTTGTTTACCATTTTCAGCTAAGCCACCTTCAAAGTTATTTAAAATACCTGACTAGCAGTCCTCATATATTGCTCTTATAATATTACTCAACTACTTAAGAATTCTTGATTTGAATTAAATAGGACCTATTCATTATTTTTATTACTTTAGAATTATTCTAGCATTCATAAATCTTAATAACATCTTCTCTCCATCTATACCAGCCCAGCCTTATATTTTACTAATCACCAACATGAAACATTTATTCTGATGTTAGTCACTATATGTCATCAGTAATTATATCAGTCTTTCCTTACTTAATGTATCAATTTATTTATTGTTTCTTGTGTTCTATTCTATGCCTGGCACTGTGATTATATATGAGGATATAATGGTCAATAAAACAATACCAATAGACATAATTCTTCCAATCAATAGTTTAGAGATAAGTATGGAAGATAAAAACAATTATATTACAAGTTATAGCCTGAAGATACAGGAAAGGAAAAGTGTACCATGAAAGCAAATGGCAGGCAGATGGCTAGGATAGTCAGAGATATATTCTAGCCTAGCAGGAGAGGCATTTAGGCTAACACATGGAGCAATCAGACAGATGAAAAGTGGTAGGTAATAGGGAGGGTCGGGGGTTGCAGGGAGAGGAAAGGACAAAAATCATGAGAGACAACAGCACTCCAAAGACTGAAAGATGATTAACACATCTGCAGCATAAAGGGGCATGAAGAAAAAAGGGGTCACATGAGGAAATAGTTTCATCTTTACCAATAAAAATCTTGCAATTTCTGAATTTTATCTTATTAAGAAATTATGAATATACAATAAATTCTATAAAGGCATTTTTCAGTTTCTACAAATCCTAGATCGTCAACCTCTAGTACTTCTACCAAATGAATGGTAGCCACTAATAAAGTGAGGCAGGGACAAGGTGAGTTGACTAAATATCTGGACTCCTCTACAGTACCTTTTGATTTCAAATAACAGATATCTATCATATTTATATGCTTGACTTCCTCACTATGTTGTGAGTTCCTTTAGAGCAGAAACTAACCTTACTCATCATTGTACCTACAATACCTACCACAGTGCCTGATAGGCCCTTGTACAGGTAACTGTTTCTCATTCCTAGTCCCCAGTTTTCTATTCTTTGCACACTCATTTAAGGAAGTGAGAAAAATTGATCCTGTGGACTGTATCCCCCTGGCTCTGTTGGCCTCTGGCTTCCAATTTGGTTGGGCCAAAGAGAAGCACTAGTAGGGGAATTGAAGGCTGCAATCAAAGGGAAGACAAGCGATTTACTCCCTGGCTGGTTCGGTTTCTGGAGCAATGGCTACAACTCCAGTAACAGAGGCACCCCTTCCAAGGATGCAGCTGCCACTGGGTTTCTGCACTGTTCATCCTTAAGTCACTCAACATCTCTTGCTGGTTGTTTTCACCTTGCCTGACCTCTGTTAATAGTTGTAACATTTAATTCTACTCAAAAACCTGTGCAGGAATTGCTTTCTGTTTCTTGGTCACCAGTATGCCATTTGATAAATATTAGTCAAATTGAAGCAAATCTCAGTGGTGATGCATGGAATAAATGTATCATTGTAAAAACTCAAGTGTTTATATTTTGAAATCAATAACATAAACAAAGCTCATTTTCTACTTAAATATATGGTGGAATTGAATAAAATATAAAATGTTTACTCCACATTTAAATTTTCAAGTATTACTCCATAAATATAACTTTTATTTTTCTTCCATCCACATCGATGCCACTCACAAATTGAATTGATTGAGATGTCTGAGTTAACACAGTCAGAAAATGTAAACAGAAGTATTAAATATATTTTGCCTCAGTTTTCCTGCCATTTATTTTAAGACTCCCTGTGCCACTAGGAAGCAGTAAGTTCCTGTAGAACTAGTTTGATTAAGTTTATTACCCAGAAAACCACCCCTCTGCTTTTTCCCTTTTATGTTTCTCATTCTTTCGTCAAAGCAAGTCACACTATATTTTATGATCCATAGAAGAATTTCTCTGATATCTTTTTCCAGGTGCTTCTAATTCACTCCTTCAGGTTCACTATCTTCCAACAATACCATATTTTAACCTTTAAAACCGCCTCATTGGAAATTGAGTAAGTAGGAAAATATTAGGAAAGTGGATGAGATTTGGGGGCAAATATTTAGCTTAAGACTAGAATTCTCAGCTGTTAGCTTCATAATTTTTGTAGGTTATTACAACTTCAGTTTCTTTGGACTTCAGTTTCCTCATTTGTAAAATGTGAGTTATAATATATCTACATTGAAAAGTTGGTATGAAGATTAAACGAGAATGAATATATGTGAAGGCACCTGGCACAGTGCTTGACACGTACTATTTTAAATTATTTAACAATGTACACAATAAGCACAATTGTTCATAGCATCTTTAAAGTACAGCTGAAGCGTCAGGTCTCCCATGGTGCTTTCCTTGTTTTTTACCCCCAGCTTCCAGCTTGTGCTGATTTAACCTCACATATATCAAGAAGAATCAATCTCTAGCTGCACTTAACTCCTGTTCAGTGTGACAATATCATGATTATAACACACTTCAGACTCTGCTTGTACTGATAATGATCCCAAAACATATATTATTTATACATTATATAAATTATATATTATATATTAATATATGTTTATATATGTTTATATATAATATATAATGTATATATATAAAATGTGTTATATTTAATATATTATTTAAATTATATATAATTATGTTATATATTTATATATTTTATGTTATATATTGTGTAATATATAAAATATTTATATATTTTATATACATTATTATATATAATATATAAAATATTTTATATAAGTTTTATATTATATATAATACATATATTTTAGATTGTATGTTTCTTATAATACATGCATATGTTTGTGACTCACTCTTAAAACTCATCTCTATGTATGTGATGATCAATAACTATTTGGTGAAGAATTCCCTGTCTTAATAAATGTAACACTTTCAATCTATAGCCAAAGTGCTCATATCATCCAAATTTTTGGCAGAGTTCCAGTTGTAAATATTCTGTTCTCTCTGACTCTTCCAATTTTTAATTATATAACTGAAGCAAATAACATATCAGTTTTAATTCTTTCTAACATGCTGAAGCCAGAAAGCTTAAAATTATAGTTCTAAGGCTTTTATTTGTGTTTAGGTTACCCTCTGGTTAACTTACATGAGACATTTAAAAATTTTGTTTTTAATTTGTAAAAATAATTGTATATATTTATATAAGTAAATGTGCTGTTTTGATATATGTTTACAAGGTGGAATGATTAAATGATGGATGGCTAATAAATCCATCACCTCACATACTTAAGATTTTTTGTAATGAAAACATTTAAAATTGCAATTTTGAAATATACAATGCATTATTATTTTATTTATTTATTTATTTATTGACACTGAGTTTTACTCGTCATCCAGGCTGGAGTGCTATGGCGCAATCTCGGCTCACTACAACCTCTGCCTCCTGGGTTCAAGCAATTCTCCTACCTCAGCCTCCTGAGTAGCTGGGATTACAGGTGCCCGTCGTCATCATGTCTGACTAATTTTTGTATTTTTTTTTCCAGTAGAGATGGCCAGGCTGGTCTTGAACTATTGACCTCAGAGGATCTGCCTGCCTTGGCCTCCTGAACTGCTGGGATTATAGTTGTGAACCACCATGGCTGACTGCATTATTTATTGTAGTCATCTTCCTGTGCAATAGATCACTAAAGCTTATTCTTCCACCAATTAAGCCTTATAAAACAGGGAAATTATTTCATTTATGGCAACACCCATAAATCTAAAAGACATCCTGTTAAGTGAAAAAAAAAGCCAGGTACAGAAAGACAAATATCATATGACCTCACTTATATGTGGAATCTAAAAACGTTATATGAGACTTTGATTCACACGCATCACAGGCAGAGGGAAGCAGGGAGTAGGGCATGCATTTCACTGAGGTGGATTACAGCCAGAGGTCTGAAGCCAGCAGCTTCTGACTCATCAGTCCTATAGAGGAAGCAGCAGCAACAGTAACTTTCTCTATTGGGATGGGATAAAAAGTTCTGGAGCTGAAAGTTGTTCCTGGGGCTCAGTCTAAAGCATTCTTCTCCAGTCCTTTTAATAATTTTAAAAGAACCATTCCCTTTCTGCTTAAACTACCTAAAATGGATTCCATTATGTGTAACATAACATTAACTAATAGTCAACATAAGAAAATTATTACATGTTCTGAAATTTGATTTTCTTGTTTGAAAACTGGGAATAGTAATAACATTTTATAGAATTCCTGGAAGAGTTAAGTTAGATAACACATGTGACATCTTTAGCACAGAGCAGGCACACAATGTATTAACATAAGTCTCCATTTTGTATAGAGTTCATCTTATGTATATATAGATATCCTTATGGCCTTACCCATGGCCGTCTCCACCTTTTTAAAATAAAGGTGACCTTGGTCATCTGATTGACTATGGAGCGTTAAGGCAAAGGAATTACACCTTATAATAATTTAAAGATTTCTGGTTTAAGAGATTAAACAGGTAGTTTTACTAGTCCCCAAAGGATCTGGAATATCCTAGAGTTACAATGTTTCAGTTATTAATAACCAAGTTAACCAAATCAGTAAACCTTATGAATATTGAAAAGCAGAGTTCTTTATAAGCATAACATGCAATAATATGAGATGAACCCCTAAATTAATTCTAAAAATTACAAGGTAATTATAATAATAACTATGTTTTTGTGAATTTTAACATTATTTCACCTACTTTTATTTTAAATAAGGGCTATTAATGGAATGAACAAATTAACATACTATTTACGACTATGTGTTTTATAAAAGTAAATTCAAAATGTTTTAAAATGTTCCTGCTCATAAATGTTAGTGCAAAAAATGTTTAAATGAATACTGTGAGCATGGTACCAAAATTTTTCTTATCAATGTATTTATGTTTGTTACTCTTCTCTCTACTAACATTTGACAGATAACTAAGAAAATCTCTAAATATTGCATAATAATCTTCAGCTGCTGCCATCTCACTTGTTTTTAAAGAGTAACGTATAAGAGGAAATGTAGGTGAAGACACATTTTGTTACACATTAGATTTATGTCTTCAGTCTTCTCACTGGTGACAAGGCCTTGACCAGATCTGAGACACAAGATCATTTCTTGCTCCCCTGGCCTATTTCCTAGACCCTGAAAAGACTAAATGATATTATTATACTTTCCTTCAGAACCACAGTCTAATCAAGGATCTCTTCTTATCATTCTGATGGTAACAAGCTACATGGAAAGATTAAGTTAGGGGAAACAGAACATTGCAATCTAGTTAGAGGAAACAGAATGTTGCAATCTAGTTTAGAGGGCAAATGCCATCAGCTCCCTGCTCCATGTATACTTCGTCTTGTCTTCCACTCTCCTTTGCTTTGGATTCTGGAGCAGATTTCCTCTTGGATAGCTAAGGATCGATATTTCTCCCAAACCTCTTCCTCAGGTTATTCTCAGTGACTATTCACATAAGACAGGAAAAAGAGGAGCAATGTAAAACAATTCAAAAGGAAAAGCCAAGAGAAAAGAATTTGCCAGCCAAAATTGAGCTACACGAAAGATAGAACTCTTAAGTTTGCTTTACCCAACAAAGCTAGATTCCCTAGCCGTATGTACAATTCTGTATCTTTGAGTCTTGGGTGGAGAGAGTGAAGATAAGATTTTGCTTTTCTCTCATGTTTAATATGCTCTATCAACACTGTTAAATCATTATTTTCTGTACTTTGATCCTCTCACCAGCATTCTCCCCAAATAGTATTAATATCTTAAAGAAACAGATCATGTGTAATAGTTATTTCCCCAGAGAGAGTAAAGAAAATTGAGAATCAGGACTAGGATTAGAATTAGTCAACAGGCTGATTTGTCATGAACCTGGTGCCGCCCTTCTCTGTTTCTCCATCTGATAATCATTTAGTATTTTCTCTGCTGATCTACCGAGATCACTAGGGAAATTTCTCTAACTTCTGTGTTACTATTGTGCTTGAAAATCCTGTAGCTTTTATGAATCAGATGCCTAAGGATGTGTCTTTTCAAGAGCAGTCGCCCCTGCTGAGCAGTGTGCCCACTGTACCCTGAACTCATCCAGCTCTGGGTACTGTCTGGGTGAGACTGTGCAAGGAATCAATACACAAAGCCAGCCCAGGTTCTTGGCAGAGAAACAGATCAGGAACGAGAGTGAGAGGAGACTGGGAAGAGGCACACAGTGAAAAGACACAGAGTCAAGAAGCACACACAAACAGAAGGATCGCTCCCATCTTACTTCCCAGAAGTAACCTATGAATTTTGGATTTAAAAGCTTTACCACATCTACAAATTGAAGTAATGTTTCTTTTTCTTTAAATTAATAGCAGAATAAATTTTCATTTCCTTATAATCATCTGGACTCCACAGTCTTTCCCAGGCAAGGAAAATCATAAAGTCATGGAACTTATGAACGTCATAGAACAGATTTTCAGGATTTGGTTTAGGCTATTCCAAGGCCCTTTAAAAGCTTTCTTTTTCCTTTTCCCTTTTTTGTGATATTTTTGCCACTCCTTTCAGGTGGAGAGGCAAAGATTCATGATGTGGTGTGGGCCATGTTCTCTGAGCCACCTTCCCACATATCTGACCACTGGACAAGTGAACCAAGATCTTCAAGACAGAGTCAACCAAGATGATCTAATCCACCAAGTTCCTGAAGAGAAATAAACACAATTCAGTATTGTGAAACTTCTGGTTTTAATTAAACATCACAAATCATTTACTTACTGAGTGACAAACACAGATCAGAAAGCCTAAATATTAGAGATAAAAGGATAGGCCAGAAATAGGATAAAATTGTATTTTCAAGGAGTTCACAAATCTAACAGTAATAATATGTAAGAAAAATGACACCTGTTATTATGATATGATGTCATAAGGTCCAGAATATTATAAAACCAGAGGTGGCACTGAATAACTAGTTACGGGTAATGGACAAGAGGTGACTGATGGAAGAAACTTGTTAGGCATGGTTTGAAAGAAAGAATGAAGTCTGAATAGGCACTTGCTGGGTGACAAGATTTATAAGGAATTTCAGGTAGAGGACAGAGTATGTACAACTGCACAGAGTTTTAAAGGTGAATGTTGCACTGAAGAACTGCAAATTTTTTAGTGTGGCTTAAGCTTCATTTGAGTATCTGCCAAAGGCAGAAGATTAGGATATAGAGGAATGTGGGGTGAGCTCATGAGGGACCCACTATACAATATAAGGAGGTCAGACTTACAGGAAGCCACTGAAGGATTTAAACTGAAGAATCACATGTTCACATTTATATTTTAGCGAGGTCACTGAGTCTGGAGATGGTAATACTATTTAGTATCTATAAGTGTTGTCTTAAATAGACAGTTGACTTTTTTTTCACCCTCTGCATAAGTCCCAGCTCCTTGCGGTGCATATCCACTATTTCTCTGCTAACACTTGGACTTTGGATTTTCCTTTCAAGCCTACCTTCCACCCTAATTAAATAACCTTCCTTCCTTTATTTTCATGATTCTCCTAGTTCTCATAAAACTTCCTCTTCCTTCTTGAGAAAACCTACTTCACACCTGTAACATCTTCTGAGTAATCCATATCAATTCTATTCCTTTGACTCAGCAAGTGAGCCTCCTTCTCAGGATGAGCTAAGCCTCTATTCCTAAAAAAGACTTTCAAAGTTAGGAGATGGGTGGAACACACCTAGTCAGTGTGGAAGCTTCCCCCGACATTAAATTGACTTCTGATCCTAGACTGCGGCATCAGAATTCAGTGTACAGTGTGTGGGGGGGGAGGGGGAAGCTATGTAGATTCAGACTCCAGACACATACAGCGTTTCCAGTAAGGGTGGGCCAAGAGCATCACAAGTATCAGTGGGCCTTGAATGTTCTATAGACTTGGGAGGCAAGTTGCCCATGGAAAATGACTAGACAAATAAAGTTTAGGAACTTTAATCCTGAAAGCTCAGTTGGGGTGTAAAGGCTAAATTTAGGGGTGAGGAGCTTGGACATAAAAGCTTTGAACAAAAGAAAAATTGCTTTCATTATAAGGATCAAAACAAGGGATCGGGAGAGTGGGTAAGGTGGGAAAGAGCAGACTATGGATACACAAATTTGATGTGGGTACTGGAAGTGTGGCAATGGGCAGAGACAGAGGTAGGATTATTGCATAGTAGAAAGTGTATAGATTTTGGAGATAGGCAGTCTTAGGTTATCATTCAATTTCTGACACTTTTTTTTTTGAGACAGAATCTCACTCTTACTGCCCAGGCCGGAGTGCAATGGCATGATCTCAGCTCACTGCAAACTCCGCCTCCCAGGTTCAAGCAATTCTCCTGCCTCAGCCTCCCAAGTAGCTGGGATTACAGACCCCCACCACCATGCCCAGCTACTTTTGTATTTTTAGTAGAGATGGGTTTTCACCATCATGGCCAGGCTGGTCTAGAACTCTTGACCTCGGGTGATCTGCCCACCTCAGCCTCCAAAAGTGATTACAGGCGTAAGCCTGTGCGCCTGGCCCTGACACTTTTTATTTGTGTAAATTTAGTTGAACTATTTTGCTATTATCTATACTATGTGATGATTAATATTTAACTTCTCAGGTTATTGTTAGAGTTCAGTGGCATTTGTTTGGAAAGAACCTACAACAAAATCTGTCCTGTGATAAAGGCCAGTAAATAATGACTATTATTATTATTGAACAGACTATATGGGTTTGAGTATAGCAGAGGCAGAGATGGGCAATGACGGTGAAGGCAAAGTAGGAAAACTGGATGAGTTTTCAGTGGGGAGAAAGTGTAGGACAGCAGTCCCATGTGTCTCTCTCTCATTCATCTATCCAGAATACTGGAATGTAGGCACACATCTAGGTAATGTCCTAAGCTATATAGTCATATGAGTCTACTCAAAGTTTCAAGAACAAAATATACACTTTAAAAATTAAGGGAGCTCAGGCTAATATTAGAGACCATGTAAATGGGATTCATCTCATTTTCCACAGGAAACCAATACGACAAGAGCTATTCTGCCAGATATTGCAGGACTCAGTGTGTGGGAAATGGGGAGAATTAGTAGAAGGTTATAGAAAAACATGTGAAATAAAAGGGTCAATCATACATAACCTCAACCTCCAGCCTTGTCTCTGTCCATTTCTGTCATCCACAACACCAAGTCTTTTGAATGAAGATGCAAGTCATGCCATCATTAACTTTTCATCTCTCTACTTTGTACCTTTGCATTTTTTATTTTCTCTCCCTGAAGTTATCTCCCCTCCAAAACTCTGCAATGCTTCATTCAGTGCACATGACACCTCCTTAGTAAAGGCTTTCTGGGCTTCCCAACGGAAAGAATTAATCTCTACCCTCAGTTTTCTATTGAAATATTTAGTACAGTATAATCCTCTCTTTTTGTGTGTGTGCCTCCTTGGCTAAACAGCTCCAGTATATATTTGTCTTGGTGTTTTCTAAGCTTGGAACTACCTGGCCCATGGTAGGATTAAAGGTGTAGGGGATGGGATGAGGGGAGAGGTCAAGGATTGCTATCACTTCTCTGGAAATATTGAGGTATTTCCCATGGGAAACAAACATTTTTAACATGGGAAATACCTCAATATTTCCAGAGAAGTGATAGCAATAGAAAGTAAGCAGTGGAAAGAAAGGGAAGAGAGGGGTTAATTGACAGTAGAATGTTGTTAAACAGATACAAAAATATGATCAGTAAAGAATAAGAGAAATTATTTTTAGAGAGATAATTTATTGACCATTTTAAAAATTGTAGGAAACAAAAGATAATAAAAAAAAGAAAAAAAATTGTAGGAAACAATTCCATATAGAAGAATGTACCAAATTTATTCTTAAAACATTAACAAGATTAAGATGTTTTAAGAATCCTTAAGACATAAATAAGATTACACAACTGCTCAAAACTTTCCAAAGTCTCCAATTAACTAGTAAAAGCCAAC